GCTAGAATTTGAAAAATCAAAAGCATATCATTTTCGTCAATTTCATTCTATAGAGACATATTGTATCTTTCTTTCACAAATTATGCAAAACTTCAGCATACAGAAACTTGGACAGATTGAGGAATTTCGTAAATCAATAAGTTAGAAGATACATACAATCAAAGATGACACTGAAACCCAAGATCAAAAGGATGCATACGAAAAGGCCGGTGCAATTTGATAGACAGAAATGATTAATTTTATGAAGAAAAAGAAACAACATGAAGATTAGTTTACTAAATACAAGCTTACATACTAGACTGACAAGAGTTCAAATCAAATAATTCCCGCATTGATGAATTAAAATCAAAGGTCAAATAAATATTCATCACTTAAACTTCACTCAAATTCGTTTTCTAAATTTTGTAAACAACTCTTCACAGAATCCCACAACACTGCAAGATATTTAAACCTAATTGCAATTTCCAATTAAAGAGAAAAAAATGAAATGCGAAATCAAATCATCAAAAAAAGAAGTAAACTTTTGATAAATTGCAGTACCTGCCCTGACGCCAGAAGCACCGGCTTTTTTCAAGCCTTTTTTCTTAACGATGAAACTTACCCCAATAAATAAACTGGAAGAAATAGCTAAAACCAAACCCTTAACATTATCCGAGGACATTCCCTCGCTCCATCTTCGCACAGCCGACATACTCGAACCCTACACTTGAAAAAAAATTCCTAATTCTGAGGGGGGGGGGAAATAACTCTATTCTACGTCGTCACAGTTCCGCAACGATTTTCGCTTTGATCTGAACTCGGACGGAGTCTGAAAAAACGAGTTCATGGATCTGAGTAAGGAAAAAATCCAAGTTTCACACAAACTTGGAGTAGAAGGTGTTCAACAGATCTTTGCCCTGAGAAAGAGAGCGATTTTGGAATATCAGTCGAGAAAAATATTTGAGAAAGAGGGGAGGGGAATAGGAAGACGAGCATTTACAAATAGGAAGGTGGGTAAGAATCTTGACTGGGTTGACGAGGGAATAGGTGAGTTGGGAGAGGGGAACGAGTGGATCTGAAGGAAAGATAAGTGGTTGTCGGCGCTTAAAAGAAAGTGATGAGAGATTTGATGAGTTGGGTAACCAGTGAGTCACTCAGCAATCGCAAAACAGATGTTTGGCTGTGATTGTTGGCTTGGATCACAGCCTCATTTTTTGTTCTTTTATATGCAATTTTGGAGCAAATCGGATTGGATCCTTGTTTTTCTTTTAAATGATTATTTCAGTTGTGAGAGATTTTTGGGGTAGTTGGGCCAATTTGTTGGTGGCATGTGCGCATGGCCACTGGCTACCACACATGTTGAGGGCAGCTTCTTGTTAATGCTTTGAGCAGTTATTATTATGAATTTACAACAGCAGCAGCATTCATACCCAACCCCATTCGAGATGAATTAGTATCACTCTAGGCCATGATTTCTAAGAAATCCCTTACTAATACACTATATTTACAAATTACAAGAAATCCAAACCATATTCATTAGTAGGCTTCTTGCCTATATTACGATAAAACAGACTTACACTTACATAACAGCTCCGCCTACTTCTTTTTCCTTCCTTGACAATGTCATCGACTTGGTAAGCCCAGTGTAGATTTGGAACCAGTGTCATCCCGAGCGAGATTGACTTCAAGTGCAATCCTAGGTGGAAGCGAGAAGGATGATGCACATGTTAAAAGTAATAAGCTACCGATGAAGGCCGGTTACAACGATTGAGTGTAATCCTTTTCGCCAGGTAATCGGTTTTATAAACAAAGATCGTGTGTTAATGCATATGAAGGATGATAAAGTTTTATCTTTCAGTTGTCGACCATGCCCTCGGCCAAGCCAAATTGTTTAGGGTGAACTGCAGACAGATGGGGAAGATAGTGTGTCAACTTTCGCAAATGCTTAAAACCCTATTCCGCTACATCTCCTTGGACCCGGTACTGCTTTACTTGAACCCAATTCATTGCTTCTCTGTAATCTCAGCGGTCTCCAGGATCCTTAACGAGGCCTTATCTTTACCTTCATGTGTAAACGCAAGACCATCTTTTGCCAACTCTTCACCGCCACAAATCGTTCTCGTTTCCACAAGCTCTACCGCCTTTTTGACGCTTGCATCGCCAACACCAACCGCCTTATTATCATCTACGACCCAAGTTTCAACCGGTTCACCCATTCCTTTGGTCTGGGCGTGCATGGTTACAACAGAACATTGTGGTGGTGAATCACATCTACACCACGAAGCCGAATATAATATTAATCTTAGATGCAAAGCATTTAAGACCAACTCCCCAGGTGGAAAGGCCATAAGATGGATTGGTTCCTTGGGCAGAATCTTCCGTGATAGCGATAATCATCAGGTAATTAGTAATGGCAGCTTGAAAATGGGCATGGGGAAGAATGAAGCTGCTTTGGCCTGTGACCATATCCATCTTTGCAGACAGCATTCCAACAGGATGATTGAGTTGAACGCCGCTTAGCTTTTGGTGAAACTGTTGAGTGGGAATGGAGGCTGCAATTTCATGGGTTGCAGCTCATTGCCTGATTATAGCGCGGCCGTAGAACAGTTAACCCAACAAAGGGGAGGACGCACGGCTGTTTTGAGGCATCCTAAGTTAGGAGAATTGGCAACCAAGGCCTTAGGTTACCTCACATTGTATTATGAATACTAATGAAAGCATTAGCTACGTAATTAAACTGAAATTTCAATATGAAATTGTATATTTTTTATATCTTTTAATTTATGGAGCTTATAATGGAATCAATGCATTAAATATTTGAATCCAAGCATTAGTAAAATTTCTTTATAAATTATTAATATCCATCCTTGAAAGATTGATAAACAATTGAATCTGAGCTATGAGCCCAGTGTTGAAAGTTTTAGATTGGGATAGGCCTCTTTATCAGTTATTAATATGAGAGAGAGGGCGTATAGGTATTAATTAATTTTAAGTATTGGTTTTAAAATTAGTTTCATTTTAAGTTTAGTTTAGATTATTAATTATTTATAATTAAATTGAATTTTGAAATACAAAGAAGAAGTCTTGGACTTATCATTATTTGTAAATCAATTTAAAGAAAATAAAAGTTAAAATGCCACACATGTGTTTGATATAATGGTAGAAAATGAGGGGTAGGTGGTAGGTTGTGTGTGGATAAGAATAGCACCAAATCTGTGTTTTAAAAAAAACTTGTCATGCAGTTTCCCCTTCTATCAATTATTACGTTGGTGGGACTACTTGTAATATTTTACTAATTATATACTTGGCCTTCCTTTTCTCTAAGAAAGCTTGTAATAATATTAAACATTATTCATTTTTCTCAGGGTTAGTTGCACCATGCGTGTATCCTCCAACTATGACCATATTGATGTCTAAATTATAAAATATTAATTCCACTTTTAAATCATCCAAATTTAATCTATTGATCAATTAATATATATTATAGGACAATCATTTCAATCTATGTTTTTTTTCATTCACCATATCAAAATTCAAACTCTTAACTTTGCTTAAGAGACTTAACATCTCATCTCGTTAGACCACCTGATAGTTGATTAATTTTTTTCTTATTAAATTAGTCATTAATTTCAATATTTAATATCAATTTAAATTATATATGGGATATATATATTAAGTTTAACTTGAAAATATACATACTAATACTATATAAATAATTTACGTATGTGAATACTTGTATATTAATTTTAAATCATACATGTGATAAACACATATATACTTACCATTTGATCCACCTACATGGCTACATCTCATATCTAAATTTGCATTTATCACCTCAGCTGTTAGATTATAATGATTTTTTGACATTTAGGGGTCACTTTATAATATAGTCAATTGTTTGAGGACATTTGATGAAATTAACCATTTATTTCTCATACACTGAAGTTCTAGCCTTTATAAAAGGGGTCATGATAAAACTCAGTGGAACAAGTCTAACGGCAAAAAGAGTGAGAAAGTAATAAGAATGGGAAATGTGGGAGAGATGGAAGAGCTGTCTTCTTCAAACTCAACAACAACTCAACAAGAATGCCTTTGTTGTCTTTGAACCACGTTTCTTTTGTTTGCAAATCAGTCAGCAGATCTGTGAGGTTTTATGAGCAGGTTCTTGGATTTGTTCTCATCAAACGCCCTTCTTCTTTCAACTTTGAAGGAGCTTGGTATGCTTTCTCTAAGCTGCTGTTTTAATATAATCTTATTTTTTAAATTTGGATTTATGTGTTAAATATGTCGAGTGAAATTTTAGTAGTATGCGTAAATTAAGTTGTACATGGGCATTTGAAGGTTGTTCAACTATGGAATGGGCATCCATTTGCTGGAATCAGAAAGTGTGCCGCCGGCAAAGAAAGAGAAGATAAACCCCAAAGACAACCACATATCATTCCAGTGCTCCGACATGAAGCAGGTGATGAGGAAACTGCAAGAGATGGGGATGGAGCACGTGACGGCAGTGGTGGAAGAAGGCGGGGTTCGAGTGGACCAGTTGTTCTTCCATTAACCTGATGGCTACATGGTCGAGATTTGCAACTGCCAAAACCTCCCCGTTCTTCCACTTTCCTCTTGCCCACCCAATTCTACCATCAACAAAGCAGGGAAGGGCACGAATTGTTCTGCAGTGGCGGCTCTAATGATGGAGAATTTGGTCCTGGACTTGCTGGACATATCAATTTGACATGGCCTCAAGTGTGATTTTGGAGAAGAACATGTTTTTGTATGCCTCATACAATTTAGGTCGTCTCAATTGATTGTATTTTATCAACGTTATGAATAAATGTCAAATGTGAATTCTTCTCCCTTCCCTTGATATTGTAGAAAACATTGTTGTTCCACCAATCAGTGAATTGTGTTCATTGCGGTGTCATATTGTGTATCAAAATGCAACAAATCCTAGTCCTCCGATACTAACATCAATGAATGACTCTGCATCACCCTTTTTAATTTTATTTTATTTTAAAAAGCCCTCATTTTCTTGACAATAATCTCGGTACAGTAGCAGAACATGATTGTCGGGTTAAATCCGCGAATCAAGGTTTCTATTCTACCTACCTTTGTTTCATGAAGCTATCTTTCTCAGTGAAACTCTAGTTACAGTTGAAAATGCAAGTGGACATATATAGACGAATCGAGGAGGATCAGTAATAGCACAATTACAGAGGAAAGTATCCTATGCGTTGCATTCATGAACCTGATGAGATGACAACAAAAACATCGTCAAGAGACCATTTTCTTGGTTCCGACTTTCTTGGAGGGTTGATAACTGCACGCTCGGAATTTGCGAGGCGATAGCCAATAACAATTTCTTTTCTTTGGCGACCCCTAATCATTATTTCATAAAAGCATAGCTCTTCCTGCTCAAATAAGTAGAATTCTGCAGGTTTGATACACATCTCATTCCCCTGCAAAAGAAAAGAAGCTAAAAACTCAGCAAAGATCTTGCACCTCACATTTTGAAACCAATAAAGAGTACTTATTTTCGTCGTAAACATTCTGTATCATCAAACAAACAAAAAAGAGGGGTGTAAGAGTTACCTCCTCTGCAAAAAGCTCCTCAAGAACACGGTTTATTTGCTTGTCTTCAGCCACCATTGCCAGTGCCATACTTACAAGCTCATTTGACAGCACATAGTCGCTGATTCTCGAAACAGAAACTAGGTTCCTTGTCCTAGAGTCCAGAATTTCACTAATGATTATCGATTTATCTGAAGCTTGCTGCATTTCACGGATCCAGGAACTGTGAGAGAATCCGGCAGGCCGTAAAGAAGTTGATCTTGTATCTTTGTAGGGGAGACGTTTTGACTGCAATTCACAAAGGAAGCAAATAGTACTGGTCATGATCATGACTAGGGAATCTCACATGTAAGCAGCCTAATGCCTACCTCAACAGATTGCTTATGCCACATTAAAGATGCTAACCAAAATCCTTGATTATTAGTTTCATACTCTTATCATTCCCTGCTTTGCTTATTATTCCTTATTTTGGTAGTCTGGTATTTTACGTTGGCAAGAAGCTAAAAGATCCTGGTTTGTACAGTAATCTGTCTCATTTTATTAAAACTAGTAAGACAGCATAAAGCTTGCCTGTATGTCTCGAATAAGGAGAAGGGTGGCAAGAGATCTAGAGTCCGAATGCACTACAGAGTCCTCCAGTGACTCATCTGCAAGAATTAAAATCTGTCCTTTAGAGTTAGTAATCAGTTGACTTACGAGTGGAGCGAGTGACTAAAACAATAGACTTAAGAAACAGTAACACTAATTACTGGAGCGAAGTAACATAAATTAAAAGTACTTGGAGTTATGCCAACTGAAAAAGGGAGAGTCCAGAGAGAGGACATAACAACTTACAGAATCAAAAGTCTCCAAAGGAAGGCTTTCTAAGTGCCTTCTAATGACAGCATTCCCCTCACGGTGGACAAGTTTAATGTTTTCTAATCCAGAAATATCAAGTCCACTATCAATCAATTTTGTCTCTCTTTCTTTTTCTGTAACCTCGTTAAACATCCACAGTTCTGAACCTGGTGCGAGAAATGCCTCCAGAACCTGAAAGTTAAACATGGGTTCACATATCAAGAAAGATGAGACTGCATCTTCTAGGAAATACAAACTCCAATCTCTTAATTTCTGTCATTGCTTTTTAAGCTCCATCAGTGCTAAATTCCCTTGGTGTCTTTGTATGTTATTTATATAACAACACGGATATTGGAAAGAAATAGTATACAGTTCAGAACAATAAGCAAGTGAATTACCATAATCATATCATGAATATCACGCCGCCAGCCACAGAACAGTATCCTCTCAGGATATTTTGGAAGTTCAGGTACCTCCGGAAAGCTAACTCTGCATACCTGCATGCGGTATATCAAACAAGAAAAGACAACTAAGGACCACTGTTTTAGACTTCTAATATAAAGAATAGAAAAGATTTAAAGAGAAAATACAGGATTGCCATCAGTAAATTCTACATAGATATGCTTTTCATGACTAAATATGACATTAGGATAATAGTTTTAGAAAATCAGTAAAATGAATTAGCTTTATAACTTCTCAACCTGCTAATGCTCTAGCTTTCAAGAATTTCATAGCTAGAGAGAGAAAAGAAAGTGAAATTACCTCTGGGAGAGGACCAGGAGCATAAGTGTCATCATCCTCGGCTATAACAAGAACTTCATCCCCTTCTTTCAGTACATAATTATCATCTGGATTGATGATTATTTTCCCATTATCTGCTGCAACCTTGACCCACAAGGAATTGCATCAGGAAATGAAATGAGCACTTCTTCAAACTGCATACCATCCAACTGAGGCCACCTTTTAATGTAAAACTCATCATTCTCAAACCCCAATATATCCTCCCATATCTGACAATAGAAAAATAAAAATCAAACTAAAGCGAAAAAACATATTCTCTTGATTAATAAAGAAACTAAGGATTACTGTTGGCTTAGGACTCTGAATATATGCTACCAATCCAAAGTTTACAAAAATCTATAAAAAAACGAGGAACATAAATCACAATATTCATAGTATTCAAATAAAAATGGCATGGGAAATAGAAGATAATCAATAATAAAGTTGGACCCTCTATGGGAAAATTTTAAATGATGCAATGAGGAAATAACACAAAAGAGTAAAAGTGGAGAGATTCTACAAATTTGTGAATGTGCAACAATTATTTTGATGAAATGCATGGACTAACCCTCTCTAGGAAAAAAATTAATGATACAGAGGAAACTAACACAAAAGATTAGAAGTGGAGAGATTCTACAAATTGTGAATGTGCAACTATTATTTTAATTAAATGTATGAGGACTGGGAAACCATCTTTTCCTCAGAAAGAAGTACTTAGCACTTATGCAACAACCTAGAAACGAGAATAGCCCGGTGGTGAATTGTTAGGTGAATTAGTATAAAAAATTACATAGCAAACGACTGACTTAAACAGGTGAGCAAAAGAGAATATATTGGGTTCTTAAAATGAATACCATAAGTAACAAGATCAGCAGTCATGCTACTCGAGTCTAAAGCGCTGAAGACAACAGGAAAAAGACCAAATATAATGCACAATGAGGTGCTGAGAAAAGTATTTTCGAAAAAAAAGGGAAAATAGTTTAATCATTTAGTCCAATCAAGATGTGTGACCAATCCAAAATGGGCACCTTATTTACAGATAACAATATTTGAATATTTTCATTGGTAATTACTGGACATTCTTCAACACATAAGAAAAAGTCCCCAACTTCAATGTACTTCATGTAATTTAAAGGTGCAACTTAAAAAAGAGTAACCTGTGCGAGGCCAGGTTGCAGAGCACACTGTATCATCAAGCGGCCAATCACATCATGTGCAACAACAGTTTCTATGAGATCTCCTCCAACAAGCTTTACCAGGGGCTCATTGTCAAGGTCACTCATTTCAACCACAACATGACCCCTCAAACCCTCCTTAACCCCAGTTAGACTGAGCACAACCCTCAAGGCCCGAGCATCACTCTGGAAAAAGAATACAGAATCACTGATGTTTTCTAAGAAAAAAAATTTGAAGAACACGAACAAAATGAAAGTTTGAGCAACCTGATCTGCATTTTCATCATATGCTAATACAATAATGGCACGCGCTTTCGATACAGAGACCTGTAATTTGAAGAATATAAATCCAGATGCATTTGTATAAGGAGAAAAAAACAAGGGAGAAAATGAAATGAGCAAAGTATATAAATAAAGGAAACAACCCACTGAATGTTCCTCGGGAACCTAACATCCATGTAACCCTCAACTGATTTAAGATCTCAAATTACCTTCTTTAAATCAGCAAGTATCAGAGGACTTCCACTCCTGCAAATGACAGATGTTCCCATAAAGTCAAATTCCAGCTTTGCTATATCCATCTCCATTTCTTCTTTGTCTCTTTCGGCTAGTACTACTACCACTCCACCACCAACACTTTTGTTCGCTATTGCTAGTTGCTTCAAAAGTGATCCCTACAATAAAAAATATTATTTCTTAAACCCAAGGCTTTCTATCTGGAGGCCCTTAACTTTAGTCATCTATCTCTTACAAGACCAAAATTAGAGATTCAGTATCACTTAAAGATTACTGAGGAATAATCAATCACTGGTCAAAAAAGGAATATACAAAATGATGAAAATTACCAATTTATCACTCCACCCAAGAATTAGCATATGGTTCTTTTCAATGACTTCACTCTTCCCCTTTCGGAGTGAATCAACCTTTTCTGAGATAGCATCTGAGACAAGCCCTAGCATCATTGCAAATATCAGCATGCCTCCTGAACTTATAAAGACAGAGACAATCCTGGGACCAATTCCAACACTATCAGCATGATTTCCAGAGTCGGCCACAAATGTCCATGAAAGCCAAAGAGCCTCAGTAAGGCTGCCGTCAGTGACCGAATACAATGCCAAGCCACCAAATGCTATAAGAAATATTGTTGCAAAAAGGAGTGCAAGAAGCTTTGCATAAGGATATACAGAGAAACAAACATCCACCATATATGCAATTCTCTTCTCCAAGGGAACCTCCTCCTTGTTAGGCTTTGTTCTTTTGGAGAGAATCTTTATTTGAGGAAGATAATCAAGACATTTGTACAACACAAAAGGCATCGTGAGGGTTAACATTACGGTGTATAAAGCAACAGTTTTACTGTCAGCGTTACCAAAAAATTTATATAAACCATCAGCTTCAGGCGGAAAAACTTCATTGCCATTGTTACCACCAACATTGGTTTCACTACAACATCGATGAAGGTTAATGTTCTCTACCTGCAAGCAGATGCCATTATTTAAAAATTTACCAAAATCGATGTTCCAGGTCAAAATAGCATAATGTTACAGAAAAACATCCGAAAGTCTTACATAAGAAAGTGTTGCCTTCTTAAGATCAATATAGTAGTTCATGCTTTATAATTATATGGTTATTTCATTTTTCAATCAAAAGAAGAAGAAAAAACATGACTTTATTTTAATAAGAAACCAATAGGTTTGTATGTATATATATATATTAGTACATTTTAAGTATAAATTTATTCAAATATCGTATTCCAATTCTTTAACTACTTCTAAAAAGAAAACACCAGTTAAGAGCAAAGGTATATAAATTCACTTACCTCTAGTCTGGCAACTTTATTTCGCAGATGACACACATAAGTTAAAGGATATATACAACTGAAAATAACCTGCAAATAATAATAAGAACAATAATATTAGAAACCAACAACTTTCTATTTTCTTACGGTGCTAGATTACTAAGATTACTCTTTTGCTTTATCATTTTAATTTAAGCTTCATTTATAAGAGTTGTGCTTTAAAAGAATAATAATAACGTACCAAAAAGATGATGAAATAACGCTTCAATTTCAGCCCTCGAATCCTCCTCGAGCTCGACGAACTCACCGAACTCCTCTCAGTTATCGTCGTAGTTGTCGAAGCTTGATTCGCCACGATTTTGATTTCCTCCTTGTTGGCAGGAGTGTTACTTAGCTGCTTCTCATCCACCAACTTACCTTGAACCCGTTCCACTAATCTCTCCCCATCTCCTCGAACCGGCGGCTTCAACGCCGGCTTAACCGTCACCAACCGATTCCTCGCAGCATGGGGCCCAAGAAACGAAGGATACATCCAATCCCTACCTGATAAACTATTCACAGCATCAACGTGATTAAGGCTACTAGCAGCAACATTCCCTTGGCTACTTTGCTTATCAGCGGAGGCATCGATGTCAACGGATGCACGTCGATCGGACGACGGGGGAAGACTCGTGACGCGACGAACGGTGGGGAAAAGTGGGCCCGGAAAGTGTGGTGTGGGCCGCGGATCATCCGGTGCTACAGTCTTGAACTTCTTCAGCACCGGTGGCCTCTCGGCTTTTCGGGAGCTAGGGTTTGGAGGTGATTGAGTTGAAGTTGATTCTCCAGAGTCGCCGTTGCTTGGCATTCTTTTGTGCTTTGTTCAAAGCTTTTCTTAAAAATTGGATAAAGCAATTGAAATTGCTAAAACCATTGGAAGAGATCTGAATTAACAAAGATTTAGCTAAAAGAAAAAAGGATGCTCAGATTCAGTGGGGAGCTTGTGCTTCTGTTTGTATCTTCTTTGATCTCTTCTACTTTTAGTAGAAATAATTATTAAAAGGATACTCTATGATTGAAACGGGGTGGGCACCAAGTATATCAGGGCCGTCGAAAAGTCAGGGAAGGGATGCTGACGTGGACGGTTGATGTGTTTAGGACAGGCATCAGTTAATTTCGTTTGGATTTGCATTGCAGACATGTTTGGAAGTTTGAAGCTCGGTATATTCATTTTATGCCAACTTTTGTCGTCATTAATCGGAAAGTGTTGGTGAACTTTCCCGGGAACTGGTGTTTGGCTGTAAATTCTGGGAATCTGCTGCCCTGAAACCTCTCTCCAATTTGCTTTGAAGATACTGTCTTGCTTTTGGGATTTAAAAAAATATATATATCAAGAATGCATATCCATGTTACTCAACTCTAATAATAAATAATAGAGCAATCGTTAAAGCTTAGTTAAACCTTGCATGAAAAACACAAACAGGTTACTGTAGAAAGATGTTTATATGAGAAAACTGGTTAATCCAATGCTCGAGTAAAATATGCTAGAAATCAAATGAACTATATCAAAATAATCTTTTTTGTCAACAAATTTTGAGATTTATAAAAACATTAGACTTGTCAAATTATTATAAAATGATCACTATTTTATAAAATAATATTGAAGGTAAGCAGCATTAGAATGCAAGATGGATAGTCCTTTAGCATTCTTTTCAGTCCTTTACAGCTTTCCATTACCTAAAGTAGAACACACAAGCTGTCATTTTTAACAAGAGGTGAAAGTTCAAATCTTGGGGATGACAAACTACTTTATTCTGGATATCTTCCGGAATGCTGTGACGGAAAAGGGTGCTTGCATTATCATCATTTAGTGGTCTCAAATAATATATAAAATCAAATCTTGATGATCTTGTACTATGGCAATCCAAACGTGAGCTTTCAACAAGGGATTCAGACCCAGACCAAACATCATCAAGGATCAGTAATATGGGACTGGTTGCCACGTGCCTTAAATTTTTGTTCCTGCTGATTCAGACAATCCTCCTCACTTTGAAATTCAGACACTCCACTATGATTCTTAACATGTAGTTTCTGCAAAATGACCTCCACTTTGGGTGTCTTTGAATGTTTCTGTTCAAACATTGCATTAGAAACCCATTCAAACGAGTAGACATGAACAATCATACCAGCCGAGAACTAGAACTAAGGTCAAGAGTAGACAAGCTATAAGCTTGGGAATTATACCTCTGACTTCTTCATCTTGACATAGCTGTTTAACCAACGTACTCTTCCCGGATCCTCCAGGCGCATACACAACAATGACTGAAACCCCCTCTTTAAAAAGCTGTGTCTTGAGCTCTTTCCAGTGTTCATCGAATCTAACAACTTGTCCTTGAGGCTTGGGAACTTTGAATGCACCCACATCTGCAACCTGACTACACATCTCATTCCCGTTGCTGGACCCCTCTCTCAAACTCAATCTTCTAATTGCCACACCATTCCCTTTATAACTTCAAACAGCAACTCTTTGATGTCTCTCACGGCATGTGTTGCATAACCTTTCGAGTCTCTCGAGCTAGTTCTTCAAATCTTGAAGTTTGTGATCATAGTAAATCTTACTGATCAAGTTCCACCAGTTGATTTTACAGCACTTGCTGATGCGTTTCCGCCCTTTATCGATGATGTCGACCAGCTGTTTGGTCTCATTGTCTTTGTCAAACTCGCCTCTATGACGCAGCTCTCCAACACCTGCCTCTAAAGCAACCCTTCCCATAAGTTTCATAGCACCTTAGTAAGCCCCTTGAAGTTTCCTCCAGCACCGGGAATCTTCGACCGTAGGTAGTGGTTGACTTCCGTTTACTTAAGCAGTGCAAGGTACCCGACGGCTTTTGATACTTCGTCTGTCTGAACCTTTGGCAGTGGATTACTCAATGGTGAATTCAAAAGAATATATACTACTGAGCTAAATTCTAGTTTAACCCCTAAACTTGTCTAATTTTATCATTTCTGGTATTGACAAAAGATTCCTTGTTTTCCTTGACGTGGAGCTGATATTGAGACCCTCCAACACTTATGTTCAATTGCACAAGTGGTTGTACAAGTAATTTAACTGAAATGTTATTAGCTTGCCCAATATTTCTGCATCTGTCGTTGTATGGTTTTTCTATGCAGGCATATCCAAGAAACAGAATACATTCGAGCATCTTTTAATCAGATGGCAGCAACCTTCATATTTATTACTGCTTTTATTAGGTATTGAAAAGGAACAGGAATCCATAAAAACCAAAGAAATTAACTATTTCAGAAATGAACAATAATACTCCAAACAAATCTAATTCAATTCCACCGCTTGTCAACTTAGGAAAACAACTTTAAAGAAGAAAAAACTGAAGGGAAAGAAAAAAAGCAGAACCCCTTGCACATCTTAACTAAGTTAAAACTTGAATGGCTATGGTGAGGGGACGGAAGGAAACACACTTGCTATCGGGTTCTTCACACCAACGCTCTTCCGACTGCAGCCATTAAGGGACAGTTTTTTGGTCAGAATGATGATGGGGGATGTTGGATCTGCACTGTTCTTTGTACTCCTCGAGTCTTCTTCCACTTTCTTTTCAACTGCTTTTGTTTGATTCTGCATGAACAGATTAACCCCAGTATCAAACTATGAACAAGTTGTGATATTAACCACAAAGAAAGATGAATACAAGTATGATAACATTAAAGGCCATAATGCTTGGCACCAGCAATGTGAACACTTCTTGAATTCCGTCAACCGCAATTTGCAGTAACAATGATGTGTTTGGTTGAGAGAGAGACCGAGAGAACTCACAGTCAAAACATCTTCCATGAATCCTAGAGTGCCGGACTTGTAATTCTTTTTTGCATTAAGCGTCTTCTCTCTATTTTCATAAAATCCAAAGTCATTTAACAACGATGATTTTTCTGAATAACCTTTAAAGATATTCAGCATTTCTAAGCCTTGCTTGAGACCAATCTGCATTCATAAGAATGATAACATTAACGATATGTTTGGTTACATAAGTGTTAACATAAGAAAAAGCTTAATTATTTCATGAGGTCAATAGTTTGTCAACACATACAAAAAGAACTAGTACAAATCTAAACTTGAAATTAGAAGGATGACTAAAATATAATACATATCCAAAACAAGTAATATTTATTCCTTCTCTTTGTTCAAGCTTAGTCATGTGAACGGCTAAAAGTTAACTAGTTTATCGCTAACTCATGGAACTAAAACACGAGGAAAAAAATAACACTCCAACCAAAATGTAGGATAAAGTCAATAATCACAACAATCATAAAAACAACATACTGTATGAATTAAAATTTCTAATCCTATCATTGAATTACACAATATTTGTTCTACAAAGCCACATAATGTGTTTATTGAATGATCATTAATAAATAACTCTACAAAATTTTAAACACTTCCAATGAACAGGAATCCTTTCGATTCATTATGTAAAAGGTGAAACAAAAAGACAACAGGGAGGATGATGGGAGAAGAAGAGAAGGAAAGCGTTCATTAGTTCTTTAGTATATTTCTTTTAACATTTGCTTGCACATCATGTTGAACTTTAATCTGTCCCTCCCATTCTTTCCAATAAATCATTTCATAACACATCAAAGCAAGAACACCCACAAAGCTAAATGACTTTTGACATACACAACCATAAATATAACATGTTGTAGATCAAGAGAAGAAAACAAAATACCTCTTGTGTGTCCCTACTATGAGTCACAGGTTTGTTCTCATTGTTTTCCAGGATAATGTGGAACAGCTCCTTATTAGGGATATCTTTTATAACATGCCACTTAACAGGGAAGAAACCATTCCACTTGTCCAGTTGCCAGAAGTCCATATCTTTATTGAAGTCTACCTTGCCAATCATCTCAGCTAAGCCAACAAACTGTCCACTTCCATTAACCTGACATAACATTGTCAAGAAACAACATAAGCAGAGAAATTAAAAAGTAAGTCCCCAATCAAAAGAAAAAACAATCAACAGCAAATAATAAATAACATAAACGAACAAAGATTATCATGATTTCAGCAGCCATCAGAAATAGACTGAAATAATAGATATACTTAGCAAAGACATCCTGAAAGAGTTTAAATGCACACTTATAGGAATTTAAATAAGCAGTTAACAACACATTCAAGACAGCAAATCTGAATCTTAGATCCATCATAGTGGTCAGATAAAAATGCTATATGATATTGTTAATTAATTAAACATCAATGGAAACTGATTCCTTGAGAAACCTTTATTCGATTAAGTGAAATGCAAACAAAATATGGAAACTCTTGCGAAAGTTATATTTATAACTCACCGAGAAAAAGAGAAAGATAGGACATTTGGTGCCAGTCTCACTTTCTCTAGTATCTGCTTCATGGAATGCAGCATCTAGCTTCTTATTGCCATTTGGAGTACTTGACCACACATCAAACTTCATGGATTTGTGGACATCATCCTCACTGTAGGACTTAATGACAAAGAACTTTGCATTTTCATACTCAATTTCAAAATCTGGTAGGTTGTATTTATCTTTGTAAGAATAAAGTCCCAAGTCTTCTTTCTTAACAGAAGAATCCAAAGGAACAGCCCTGTTAGAGGTCCTTGGACCGCGAGTTAGCTCAGCAGAGTTTTCAAAGTCAACGTCTCTGTTGGATTTCCTATATCTGTCATTTTGATTCCATACTCTCCCATTTTGTCTGTAGTTCATAGGACCATTGTATTGCGAAACACCTTGCTTTTGATTGTTAAATGAAGGAGATTTTCCAGCTTGGTAGTATCCCCTATAAGATCCCGCTGATATATCTGAACCCGAATAAGGCCCCTGCAACACGAACACAGATAATCAAAACCTTGAAATCCCAAGGGGCAAAGAAATGCAAAAAAATGATGACCGTCCACTACAATCTAATGATGTTCAAATTAACTTCAAACAAGTTAGTTGCATCATGGAAGCATAATTCTTGACTTATATAGATCTTATAATATTCCAGAACATAATATCTTTGTAAAAATGATAATGTAAACCATATTTACCAATATATGCAGCAACAGTAGTAGTCTTGTCATATGGAAAATAATTCCAACTTATATGCCTAGAATAAACTAGAAATAAAATCATAATCTCCAAAATGAATGACACCCCATACACTTTACCTTGCTTAGTGCTTTGTTAGGCTGAGTATAAGTAGATCTAGATAATTTAGCACCAAGGCCATTTGATTTTGTTGAGTTGAAACCATCCGACTTCGCAAAAGCAGAACCTGAACCATATTTTACGTTTCCAAAACCATCAAAGTCCCCATTTGAAACATCTACAGCATATGTTGAATCCCATGTGTAACAAGGCATGGCCTCTGATCCATAGGAAACCGGATGCTGATAATATCCTGATGAATAATATGGTTGTTGCCCAAGACATTGACCATCAACACCCATTAAAGCTCCAGTTGCATATGGGTTATAGCCAGGCAAATAGTAGACCAAGGAACCATTTTCTGATTGCACTCCCTGGTGCAACAACCCAATAAAAAACAGAAGAATCAATATATAGAATTTGTGATTCCACATTAATGATAAAGTGAAGATATGATTCAATGGAATCAATATGAAGGAATGATGTCATAAAAAAAAGTGCAGAGTGAAAGAAGTAGCAGAAGAACATACTGTTTGTGAACCATCGGTAAGAAAATAGCCCTTATCATCCGATTGAGTAAATGGCCCATCATAACCTGCACAAAACACTTCCAATTCATGTTCTTTTACAAAACTAAATCTGCTTAACAGTTCAAGTACAATGGTAAACTAAATTGCAAAAGAAGAAAAATGATTTGACATATCAGAACAGTAAATTTAGTGACAGGAACTAAAGCCTAGAAATTTTGTCACATAAAATTGTGAGGGTGAATTTAAAGTATCACGTACAAATTCATAAAGATTTCTAAAACCTATTTAATTTGAAAACACTTTCCAACAATTGCTTTTTCATTTGATTTTTTTTATAAAAATACATTATCAATGTAATTCATCATTATTTTAAAACTTTGGCATGTAAATGTGATATCCGATGCATCACAGCAATTAAAGATGAATGAAAACCTAATCTCGTTTGCAATAAAAACCATGGCTGTAGCCTGTACTGATTCTAACATTGGGTCCGAAAGCCAAGTTTCACATGAAGAACCAATGTAATTCATCATTATTTTAAAACTTTGGCATGTAAATGTGATATCTGATGCATCACAGCAATTAAAGATGAATGAAAACCTAATCTCATTTGCAATAAAACCCATGGTTGTAGCCTGTACTGATTCCAACATTGGGTCCAAGAGCCAAGTTTCAGAATGAAGAACTGCTATCTATCTAATCTAACTCTAACCTGGATAGTAATAATTTTCAAAGCCACTAGATTGATTGGCACCAGACTCTCCAACCAAGTCTTGATTTGCACCAGAAGAAGGATATGGTGTAGAAGATATTGTGGAAGTCAAATCAGATGCTATTCCAAGTTTTCCAGAAGGCTGGAAACATCAAAATGTGCCAACGTCACAAAACCATGAAGGATAGTTGATAAAGCAAAAACAGAGTTTAATTTTGAGAAAAAAATCTAGATAAATAAAAGTTCTGAATAAAATTTCACAGCATACTACATCCTGCTGGGTATCCAATTTGGGAACAGCTTCAGACTTCAAAACCACATTGATAGGTTCGGCTACGTTAAATGGTTAAGTAATATCATCAGAGAATCGCATAACATTCCAAAAACTATTACACAATCAAAATCAAAATGCAATTCATAAAAATAGATTACACAATCACAACCAATCCAGGTTAGATCATGACTTCCAGTGCAAGTTCGCGAGACTGATATATAACATCAATAAGGAAGCTTAATAACACGTTAAAGTGCTGCTTCTTATTATAATCAAGTTGATATCACAAGGTAGATTAATAGTATTAATGTGATTTTGTTAACATACCCGTTCCATGCACCATAAGTGAGATGCCAAACAAATTGATTAATCCCCACTGCTACCTATCGTTAATGGTCACTCTCAAACTTAAGAGATCATAAAGTTGATGTAATTCGCAAGCTATAAACTACATAAAACCAGAGTTTTAGTCACTAACATTCAACCTATAAACATCATAAGCCATCAAAAGCACTCGCCACATTACATACAAGGCATAACAAATAATCAGAACTGAAGCAAAGGATACGATTCCCCATGGTCTTTTCACCGGCCATTATCGAAATACCAAACAAATATTCGAAAACCCAATTGACCTAACAAAAAAGAAGAGTCAAAAGGCTCAGGTTAAAGGTTGAAATTGCAGTATTTTATAAAAGGATAAATTCGAGCTAAACTTCAACCCCTATTTTCAATGATTGAAAGGAAAATATTTAATACGATTCCTATATATTATAAGTCATGGTCGTAGACTTAGCGCATAAGGTATCTCTCAATATTATTTATTATATTAAATAACTATTTAAAAAATTAAACTATCTATACATATCAACTTAAAAAAAAAAGATTTTTTGAACGTTGGTACATCAAATAGGTGTGAAAGAAAGAGATTCAATTCTTTACTCATGAATAGAAAGCAAAAGATTCTTTTTTAAAAAGTAATTAAAAATATCTAAAAAAACAATACACATATATTTTTAGACAAAAAAGAATATATATATATATGAGAAAAAGGCAAATAAAACCTAAGATATTTTGAGGGGAAATCAGGGTTTTGAATAATTTCGCACCACCAAAGAACTTGACTTAAAGAGGGAAACAAAAATTGCCAAGAAAAAAGCTTTTCATTTCAAGAAAACTCCCATTGCAACTTTTTAAAGAAGAGTTTTGCTAAAACAATAAACAAAATAAGGGCAGCTTAAATTCTTTTGGGGCAATATGGTTTCGAGAAGTTAAAATGAACTGAAATCGAAAGCAAACCCTAAGGAGCGTGGATCAAATACCTACCTGAAGAAGGACCGGCCCGATCTTATGAGTAGGGTACCCGCTAGGAAACCCGCTTTTGATTTGAAGAAAAACTACTCTATTTTTTCTTCTCTTCCTTTCTCAAGAGAGTGGAGTAGAAAAAGGAAGTGGGAGAGAGGACTGAAACGCTAAGGGCTTTTAAAAGTGAAAATAGAGATTCCAAAAATAATGGACGGATGCGATTAGTTCATAGCTTAAGAAACAAGGAATCTTGACCGTTGTATTTCAGGAGAGTGCAGTCAATGTCCGCCTTGGGCTGGGCTGGGCTGAAGCTCCATTTAATTTCTCCAGTCCTACAAATTATTTAATTGTAATTTTGATCATGTTTTTTAATGAAATTTTCCCACTCAAATTTAGAAAGGTGTAGAAATATTCAAATTAAAATTCCAATTAACTCCCCCCAATTCCCAATACTTCCGTTCTATTTGCATTATTTCGTTTGAATTATAAGTCATAACAAAATACCAAATGAATTAATAGCATGTATGGTAAGTATATTTGTCAATTGGACCGATTAAATTTGAACGGTTAGATTTAAATTATAAATTAAATACTAAAAGAAATGGTTTTATATATGGTAAGTATACTTGTCAATAAGACGCATCAATTTAAATCTTTTTAATTATTAAATTATAATTAACATACCAAAGAATTTGATTTTATGTATGACAAATAACTTGTTAATTGAACATATCTTTTTCTGTTTTGGGTCAAGACAATCGAGAAAAGTTTTAATCTTGTTCAATTATAAGACTTGCGTTAAATTATCCCAGATATCATAATATTGAGTTCAATTTATTAATCTTTTATGATCAAATTAGATTAGATATTAAATGAAATTTTTGGGTCCCAATCAAATCCTCACACGTAAATGCAATATTTTCTTCATAAGATTTAAATAAAAAAACACTCAAGTAATATTAAAATATTGTGTACAATTAAACTATTAGAAATATTTGGTTTAAAAAATATAAAAAGAAAATTAAAAATGAAATTATCATAATATAACATTACTTAGTACATTATTAAGAACGTTATACTAGTTTATTTGACTAGAGCATAGGATTGTCACACCCTCAGAGTTTCGGTACGACTAGACGTGCGACATTAGACGCTTCTTGGTCAGTTTTGCGCCTAAGTAAGCCTTAAACCAAGCCTCGTGAGCATGCAAACCCATCAAAGGCTAGAACCAAGCCCCGAGGCTTCGATGGATGCAAAAGCTTTAACACTAATGTGGACACTTAAGCCACCAAGGTTGGACTATGTTGTGGAAGTGTAAACACAAGCGTGGATACTCTAGCCATCACGAGAGGCAACAAACACAAAGAGACCAAGAACAAAAGAAAGGGACAAGAGAAATAGAGTAAATGCCTCAAAGCTTTATTACTCTCTCTAAATGAGAATGAATGGAATTGATCATAAAAATGAGGGGGAAAACTCTCTATTTATAGTCGAGCTCTCTCACAATTAAAGGTATGGATCTATTTACATTAACGACTAAGATAAACCCAATTAATACAAAATTCCTAGTCTAAAGAAGGTAAACTATACCATCATCTAGTTAAATCAATTAGTGTCCATATTTCCTTGGATAGATGTTCACACTAGATACGGTAAAAATCCTCCACAATCTTCTCTGATTTATTATCTCTTGCCATATATGATTCATCACTATGGACATTATCTTATATGATGCCATTTTCTTTATTTGCAAGTTTAGTGTGAACGGGCTCTCTAACATTCTCCAAGTGATAGGCTAAGTCTGGAGATCTTAGCAAACCCGATACTCCACATATAACCTCTTTCGCAGACACTTGCATAAATATCCTGAGCCCAATTTCACGGCCCGTGACATTCTCCCCCACCAAACCTAGTGACACCCTCGTCGCTCCACTCGAACGATCCTAGGCTAGCTCACATTGGATACTTCCTGATGCCTCGGCTTGTTGCGATTCCTCCATAAGAATTGCTTGCCTTGGCTCATGTCGCCATGTAACTCCACGATCCTTCGTGCCATTTTTTAAATCAACTTGGTTGCTCAACGCCTCGGCTTGCTCGCGTCCCCTTAAAAGGACTAGTCTTTCCATACATATTGTTAGCTTTGGCTCTTGTTTCCAAGAGATGTTTTCTTTGGGTATATATCCCACGTATGAGCCTTCTCCTACTAACTTTGATTTGCCCCAAATTGGACTCCCTCGATCTTTCGGCAAAGGCTTGGATGTCTCCTTCAGACATTTGGCCTCTCAACGTAGATGATTAGGTTCGCAATGGCCAACTCTTATCAATGATGACAAATCAAACTCAAAAACACTAGAATTATGTTTGAGGTGTACCTCTCTCTCAGTTGCATTTACTATAAAATGTGATAGTCCTTACTTTATCCATAAATTCTTACACCCCTTGCATCAAACTTTCTTCATTGAAGTTCTTTGTCAGCTTGTTGCATCAGCTCTTCTTCTTTGAAGTTTGTTGCCTCCCTTTGCGTTGGTATTTTTTTACATATAGTCATTCACTCCTTTTTTACCTTTCCAAATGGTAGTTCAATAGTTGCCTCGTCCCTCATTGGCTAAGCTCCCTTCGACACTTAGCTAATTATCTCAGAAGGAATGTTCTTCACTTGAACATATTAGGGAAGCTTCTCCTTCGACCCATCTCTAATTGTAGTCTGTTAAGAGATGTTCTTTTCCACTTAAACACCCTCGAAAAGCTTCTCCTTCGATCATTCTATTAGGTGGTCTATAAAGCCATGTTATTCACACGAACATGCTTGACAAGATCCTTAGCTTCATTGGACACGAATTACCTTTATGCAGTTGGATTCTATTTACCTCAACAGACACAAACTTCATCGCACCAAGTATCGCAGGCTCAGTACCTTTGGCCTTGTCCTTCCCCTTGGACGGCTTGGTTCGATTAGGACATCTCTGTAACTTGTGAGGACCCTTACACTGGTAGAACTTTAGTTAATTCATTTTTACCCTGCTTGACGGCTTTATTCTTCGTTATTACATCGAGTCTCTCTCCATGCATGACTAATTTGACACTTATAGTCTCGTCACGTCTCGATCCTGGGTTGACTACTTTGGAACTTATAGTCGCACTATATCTCGTTACTCCCTCTTCTGAGTCGTCTATCCTTTTGACGATAAAAACTAGGAAATTCTTATTGGGACATCCCCTTATCACATGGGGCCCATCACAGAAGTAACACTCCATCTCCTTTTTGCTCACATTCTTCTCTACAACGGACTTAGCATTATCATTCTTCTTTAATGGCTTCCCTTGGCTACGATCAGTCGATGGATCACATTGACTATATAAAGAACTTTATCCACCATCTCCCTATTGCACCTTTATTTGGTCTCCCCCATCATTGTCACTATTCCTCTACATGGGCTCGGATGACTCGATGCTGGTAGGCTTGTTCCCTGCAAATTCGATCAACTTTTTAGCTACAACTATGGCCTCTAAAAGTCTATAGGCATCACCTTGGTCCTTAGTGAGCTCCACCCCTGGTCTAAGTCGTTCCAAGAAGGTCTTCAGCGCACGCCATTCACTTATTGCCTCCTTACAATTGAGTAGTTGAGCTCATTCATCTCATTTTTCAAAGCCACCACCTCAGCTTCGAGTGAGTCACTCCTCTAGACCATCTTTTAATCCATCTCGTTGAGAACATGTTGTGTCATATCCTTGAACCTGTCCTTTATGGACTCCAACTTGCTAAGACGTGACTCCACAACTCCCTATATCTCATTCACTTCCTAATCAGGGTTATCAAGGCTCACAATCATTTTCTCCAATGATGATGAAGTCTCACTCATGTCTTGAATATGAGATCTAAGAACATCAGTTCTCATATCAAATTCATTGAGATAATGTTCTACTTGGTCCCTCAACTTGTCCAGACGTCCGTTATTTGATTGAACAAACAATAAACTCCCACTTTGAACTTCTCTTATGAATTTTCCAAGGTATCTTCGATTTGAGACACCCTTGACAACACCAAGTCTATTTGACTTTCCTCATGTTTCTCAATGGCTCTCCTCGTTTTTTTGTGTGGGAACTCCTCTTTTTTTATGTCATCTTGAACTCATTTTCCATGAACTAGCTCAATCACCCCCGACTAGCTCAAACACAAATCATTGTCACACTTAACATAATAGTAAGCTTGGCTAAACAATAAGTAAATTCACATTACCCGGTTCATCGATTTCCACAAAACACGTTTTGAACGCTCGTTATCTCCTTACAACGACTCACTCTAATGCCACTTGTTACACCCTCAAAGTTTCAGTTTGATTGGACGTGTAACCTTAAACGCTCATTGACACTTCTTGGTTGTTTCTATGTCTAAGTAAGACTTAAACCAAGCCTTGTATGCTGGAACCAAGCTCTCAAGGCTTCAATGCATGCGGAAGCTTTAACACCAACATGGTCACTCAAGCTACCAAGGTTGACTATGGTGTGGAAATGTAAACACAAGCGTTGTTACTCTAGCCACCACGAGAGACAACAAGCACAAAGAAAATAAGAATAAAAGAAATGGACAAGAGAAATAGAGTAAATGCCTAAGAGCTTTATTACTCTCTTCAAATGAGAATGAATGATATGGATCACACAAATGAGGGATGAGGCTCTCTATTTATAATTTATCTCTATCTCTATCTCTATCTCTATCAATAGTCTGGATCTATTTACATCAACGACTAAGATGAACCCAATTAATACAAAATCCCTAATCTAAGGAAATTCAACTATACCATCATCTAGTTAAATCAATTAGTCTTCATTTTTCCTTGGATGAGTGTTCACACTGGATGCGGTAAGAATCTTCCACATCCTTCTCTGATTTCTTGTCTCTTGCCATATATGTATCACCATTGTGGACATTATCTGATATGATGCCACTTTCTTTATTTGCAAGATCAATGTGAACGGGTTCTCTAGCATTCTCCAAGTGATGGGCCAAGTCTGATAGTCTTGACAAACCCAATACTCCTCATAAAACCTCTTTAGCAGACACTTGCACCAATGTCTCGAGTCCAATTTCGCGGCCAGTGACAATAAGATTATACTGCTTAGTCAACATAATTGAAGATTATCAAATTTTTAATTAAATTATCATTGTGATAGA